CATTGCGTACATTTAGAACTAATCACTGGAATGCATAAGCTAGAGTTAGTGAGCAATGCTAATCAAGTGTGTGTTGGCTCGCAATGAAAGCAACCATCAGTGTGATTTATCTTTGCATATTGTTACATTTTTCTTGAGTGGTTTTAATAAAATTGTGCTAACTGCAACTTAAATATCGCTACCAACTTTAATATAGCAAAAATGCTCATTTGCTCACTTTTAATCTGCTTTGCTTTCTGATTGCTTTTATGTACTCACAGTGCAGCTGTATTCACAGTGGTCCAACTAGTGCTTCCGGCCGTACTACACTACGCCTTACATTCGTGCTTATATTATATCTTTCTGTATCCGCCCGCTTGGCGTACTTCCAATTATGATAGTTCCCAGCGCCATTAGTGTTCTAGGCAAAGACGCACGCTTAATCCACAGCTGCACTGTTCACTGCCCTCGCTCTGCTATGCAATTGCTGTTGTATTGCCGTCGTGTCGCTGGTTGCTGTCTCGGTGTTTGATGCGCCGGAAACGCTATGCCAACCATCTTAGTTCGTCCTTTTGGGACGGAATTCGCAAAGGCTCCTAATAAGACCGCAACGGTAAAGAATACTGCACGCCGTGTGATATACAAAAACAAAAACAAATACATTTGTAATGACACAAATCCTATGTGGTCCCTAGCACGGCAATGGCTAAATAATAGTTAAAGTTGTTGCCGGCTGTTTATTCACCTACCACTGCGTTCCGCATTTTACAACCATTTACTCTACTTAGTACACACGACTGCTGCCGACCAGAAATGCTTCTGCGCTGCCAACTGTTTGCTGCTTAAGAAGCTTAAAAATTCGAAGTGACGAAATGGCAATGGGCGTCTTCACCTTAAACACCACACAGGCAGTAACAAACCACCCACCATCAACCACAAGTCTCCACGCGGTAAGCAGCAGCAAGGCATGCTAGCGCAATAAGTTTGGCTTGTGGCTGCGCAGAAGTGTTGGTGGTCATTATGTGACAGAGTAAATTGCGTGTTTTGTTCGTAGTCGAAGTGAGTTGGTGGCGTATTACGATTTTATTGTCGCAGTCGGTAAAAACAGCTTAGCACGCACAGGCATGACCAGCATCTTTGCGACAACGGGAAATCATTATTTACCATTATTTTACATTCTCAGTTTGCCAGTGTGGCCATTATGGCAGAAAAGTTTAGGAGCAGCTGTGGGGTTGCGGGGGAGAAAACTTGAAGCGCTCACACCGAAAAGGTGTGTGGCTGAGCAGAAAATTGAGACTTTGTAAATGATTAAATGCACTTTGGTGCTACTTAGCAATAGATGTTTGCCGCAAGCACATTTCGCAAATAAGACTGACAAAAGCCATTCGCCTAACAAGCAAATGGCAAGGACAAGTTCGCAGTAATCATGAAACTTTTCGAAACTTTTTTTTTTTTTTTATTTAACAAGATTTTTTTAAAGCAGCCGTTCAAAAGACGGCAAGGAAGCGGTTTTTCAGCAACAAATAAATTCTTTTGTGATTCGCAAATTAAATTTTTATCATGACTTGTTGGTATGAAATATTTTCTATTTCAATTGTTGCTGTTTGCCTCAGCTTGGGGGAAAAGCTTTTTATCTTGCCAAGCGCTACAGACAAACATCTTTGCAAGACGTGTGAGTCAGCATAGTAAAATGCGGCAAACAGGCTACGCATGTATCTTAAATTGTATGCTATTTATAATTATTTTAAATGGCATAAATATTTAAATTTTTATTAATATTTACGAGTTTTCCAGATCGAAAGCTTAAGAGTCTATTTAGGAATGCATACCAAGCTTCCTTTCACATATATCTGGAACGCGTTGGCTTTACAACCATTTACTTTTTCCTGATTTCCTTTTTCATTTTGCTTTCTTTTTCCCAAACGACTTTATCTCCATAAGGTTCTTTAATTTTTACAAACTTTAAAGAGCTTGCTGAGGCGCGAAATTGAAATTTCGCATTATGCGCAGATTATAATATTTTGAAATGCTTGTGATTTTAGTGCTCATATATTTTTTTCACACCTTTTAGGCGAAGTCGTCGCTTTGTTGCCAACACTTCGTTATGCTTGCGTTAAATTCAAAGACAACACGAACAATTTTTGTTGTAGACATAAAGAAACGCAGGTTTCCACATCTTACCTGGTATATGGTATACTAATTGTACACATATGTGTGTATGTTTGTCTGTACATATATACAATAGGGTGGATCAAAAAAATAAGGTTTCTTTTTTCGCTTGGTACTTTGCAAAATTGGTTGATAGACAGCTCTTAGAAAGGCTCTCCATGAGCTCTTAATTGTACGGGAGGGTCCTGCGACTAAAGGTTTTCTAAGTTGTTTCTATTATCAGATTTGTGTAGAGCAGAAAATTTCTTATAAATAATGTATATTCATTGAATTATAAAATTCGAAAAAAAAAATTTACCTTAAAATAGTCAAACTTCAAAATAGAAAACCGTTGCCTTAAACCCTTAGTCATATTTCAACAGTTGGGTTTACAAAAAAATTCTAATAGAACTTTTTTAAAGAGCATTTAATTTACTAAAAAATCCACAAACCAAAATTGTTTTCAAATAGTTGGAAGCAAGATATGAATTTTTTGAACTGATAATAATAAAAAAATAGAAAACCGTTCGGCGAAGCACCTTTCCGTTACTATTAAGATCTCATACTAAGAGCGCCTTGCTAAGAGTTGTCTATCAAACAATTTTTAAGAGTACGAAGCGAAAAAAGAAACATTATTTTCTTTGACCCACCCTAATATCTATATATGTATACTATATATATATACACTTATGTGCAGATATCTTCAGCTGTACTGGTTTTTGTACATAAATTATTCTGCAACATTCGTCGGTCTCGGTTTAGCTGAATTTCAACACACACACACGCGTACACACAAAATTTAGCACTCAGAAATTTTAAAGCAATGAAAGGTGCCCCGGTCTCATACATTAACACATGTGAACACATACGCATGCACTCATACTTGTATGCACAGAAATTATTACCTCATGAAAATTCAATTACAGCTTCTTTCTACTATACGCTCCATCTACTGGGAATGCATACTCACCCTCACCGCTGTACGCCCACATGCCATTGTCGTTCGTCGCTTTGCAAGTTTTTTTTACGTTGAGCGTGTATACACCAACACACTTAAATTTATATGCACTTAAACAGAGCACATAATGTGGCACTCCATGTTGCACATTAGACTCGCTAGCCGCACACTGGCAACAAATTCTCGCTCTCCTCACTTACCACATCGTTGCCCTAATCAACTGGCTTTTAGTTTGCTAAGTCGGTGCACTGACTCTGCATCAAGCGTCGCCTCAACTTATGCTGCCAAAACATATGGAATTTTTGGTTGACTCACCCACAGCTCTGGCGCAGCCACGCCTAGGGGCTATGGCGCGACTCTACGCTTCTGAGTTGGCGCTTACTTTGTAGTGTTGGGCGCGCTGTCGTCGCCGCTGTTCGCTATTGCTCTTAAACATTTCAGCGCTTTGCCAAAACATTTCCACATTTTCGCCACTTTCGCGGATTTGCACATTCAATGAAGCTTGGCGACTCAGAAGTTAAGAGCGCGCCGCCACGCCGGTGCTGCGGTGCAAACAGACGCCGAAGTGCAAAGTGTTGAAGCCAACGTCAGTTGGCGGCGCGCGGGGCTCAAATGAACGCTGCCCACAATTTATTATCACAGCCGCTTCTTTCTCTTTGAATAAGTTAGTGTGCTGAAATAGGTGCGTTATGAGCTCACACGTATACACACAAACACACGTGCTAATGCTCATTCAAAAGCACATAAGTAGTTGCTCAAGTTTATTGAATGTGTGTGTGTGTTGGCGCTGCAACCAAAGCGTAGCAAGCGCCCACAACCACGACAGCGTGTAACGCTGCACCAGCATCAGCTCATCAGTGGCTGTGAAAACTATTTTCAAGTCCATTTGAAGTAAATCTCCAGCCAACCCACAACCATAGGCCAACAGCGTTCAACAAACCTAACTGCTTGCCTAGACCCCCGATACACACACATACACGCGCAATTGACTGAAACGTATCCTGATATACGAGTTGGTGCAGCGCTGTTTGATGACATACCATTTTTATATGCGCTGCTGCTTCCGCTTGCCTCCACCACACTATTATAACTCGTCGAACAGCTGTTCGGCCGGCTACTCAACACTGTGCTGCGTGTAGGTAAGCATGTTGTTATGGTAGCGTTCGTGGTTTGCTGGTCACATTAGGGAAAACTTATGCAGCCGCAGAAATGTACTTTCCATATAACATGTGAACACGGTAGCAAGCGTCTCCGTGTGTTGGTGGTCGTTAAAGTATTTGAACGGAAAATTGCTTATACCCGTGGTATGGTCACAAAAAATGGCAAAATATTTGTCACCTAAGTATGTGTTGAAAAGTAAAATAAATGTTATGCTGCAAGGTCATCATCAAGGGACAGCAGGTGCTACTTGCGAGAATGTTGCCACTTGGCAAGAAAATATAACAAAATGCAAGCAGTGTTGTTGTACTGTCTCTGTGCTGGGCTAATAGTGTCGGTATGTCTGTGCTGTGAAAGTGGAACTGGCAATTGGGTTTGGAATGGCTCGTACCGCTTCTGTACCGTTAAGTAATAATTAAAATTTTCTTTGATCTAAAAATTTAACATAGTGTGGCAACACTATTAGTAAATTGTCTGTGTTATGTGGTTAAACTTTTTATCTGTAGACTGAGTTTGCAGTTGCCGCCGTGCATGTTGACAGTGAGGGTCTGCATATATGCAGGACAACGCTGACATCCGCACGAGTTTACTGCAAATCCACTTTGTAGCTGCGACATACACACAAAATGAAATTACTATTTCAAAGTGAAGAGCTAACTAGCGCAAACTAAATATTTGTGTAAGCCAATAAGATGCGCGAAATTGGATTCGGGCGGTGCCCATGTGATGCTAGCAAACCAACTGGAAACACATTTCATAGTTATTAAAAAAAAAATATTCGTCTATATTATAAAAATCGTTACTCTACACTTTCCCATAATAAAATGTAGCACAATGTGAATATTTGCGCAAAGCATGAAAAGCGGCGTAGCGTCGAGTGTGAAAACGTAAAATCTAAGCTCGAGAAACTAAAACACGACATTAAAATTAGTTTAACAATAACTCCTTTGGCACGATCCGCGCTGAAGCATTACCAAGCTTGCACGTAGCTAGTGGTGAAAAGCAGCGGTTCCTCAAAATGCGTTGGCACTACTTCCACGGAATGTACTATGGGCTGCAAGTATTCCTCGCTGTCGGCGTGTGTGAAGCTGCCGAGATGCTCCAGCTGCTCGACATCGGAGTCGACGAGCACATAGTCAGCCTCGGTTTCGATGAGCACAGCGGTCGCTGTATTATCGTTATGTGGCGCTGGCGTCTGTTCGGCAGCAGCTGGTATGGTGGCTTCATCGTCTTTCTTAATCTCCTCTCTATCCACCGCATCTTCCTTCTTAGCTAAAGCTGCCTGCGTTGTATTCTCCACTGTTTTTTTGCCAAAAATTGCATCGCGTACACGTGTGAGAAAGCTGGGTTCTTCGGTCGTTGCTTTTTTGTCAGCTTCTTGACTTACTTCGCTGCACTTGTCCTTGTCACTTTCGATTTCAACGCTCAACTCTGTTGTGTCATCCGTAGACACAGCGGTATTAATATCAACATCTTCGGGTTCTGCAATATTTTCCTCCTGTTCGCGTGCCAGTCTTGGTGTGCTCAGCAACAGCAACTTGGAGAACTTTTGCGGTGTGTTCGTGAGTTCCGCGCTGCTGGCTGGTATACTCTTTGCAAGATCAGCAGTTTCGTGTGCTTCAACTTCGTCTCTACTGAGTGCGGCTTCGGTTTGCACTTCTTCCTCAGTTTGGTTTTCATCCGCATCGTTTTGCCTTGGTTTCGCAGTTTTATCGTCTACTGTGTCCAACGTAATTGCAATGCCTTCGATGGTGTCCGGTGCAGGATCTAAGGAAGCTATAGCAATCTTCACAGTTGCATCTTCATCTCTGCTGAGCGCCACTTCATCTTCGACAATAATTTGAATTGTCGTGCTCTCCGGTTTATCGCTACCGTTGGCTTGTGTTTCAGTTACTGGTGACACAGCTGGCTTGTCAGCGCGTAACACACCCGCTTGTATGGGTGTGGCGGTGTATAAGAGGATACAGCACACTGCCAAAAAACACAGTTTGCGCGTCATTTTGTGGTAATTTAATGGGTATTTGTGTAGACGCTTCAATTTCTAGTTATCAACTAATTTTTTACACCAAATAAACTAGTATTTATATCGAATATTTACGCAACGATTCTACTGTTTCCCACCGACAGCTGTGCTTGCTTGCTATCGACGGGTAGAGTCACACACTATACAACATCCGATGCGAGGCTGACCCTGGCAGTGACCAATGGGGGTTTTTGTTTTGATTTGTTATGGAGTTCCGTAGAACCTGACGATTGCTTGCCAGCCTGACATCAATATTCTTAACATTACTGGAGTGCGTGCATAGGTGTATTTATTTTATTTTATTTTTTAATTTTTTTTTAATTGGCAGCTGTACGCGCTTTGTCACCCGCTTACCGGAAATTGTAACGCACAACTAGAGCTTATTGATACAGACTTTTCGTTGCTTAGTTCACCTATATTATACACTTATTTACAAGTACAGGCAGGATGACTCCCACTGACTCAGAAATAACAATGCAGCTTTATGTATGTGTGTGTGTGTGCTGAAAACTGATTATTAAAAATTAATCGCAGACTTTACATATCTAGAATATAATAGAATTTCTAAAACCCACTTACTTCGTGCGGCATATGTGTTTTCTGACGGTCAACTTAACGCGCCGGTCGTTTACACCTAGCGAATGTGAGCCGATGACTAGTTCGTTATTCATTAAGTTTCGTCACGTTTACAATAAAGCTGTGTATGTATGGATGTGTGTCTCTGCTTGCTAAGTAAAACGAAAATTCAGGCATATTAATTAATTCAGCCAAGTCGTTACAATAAAAAAATAAATTAAAGTCGTTACAAAAATATTTTGAGATTCAAAAAAAAATAATATAAAGTCGTTACAAAAATATTTTGAGATTCAACAAAAAAATAATTTAAAGTCGTTACAAAAATATTTTGAGATTCAAAAAAAAAATAATATAAAATTGTTAAAAAATTATGAGATTCAACAAAAAAAATAATTTAAAGTCTTTACAAAAATATTTTGAGATTCCACAAAAAAAAATAATAATTTAAAGTCGTTACAAAATTATTTTTAGATTCAACAATGAAATATATAATTAAAAATCGTTACAAAAATATTTTGAGATTCAACAAAGAAATAATTTAAAGTCGTTACAAAAATGTTTTGAGATTAAACAAAAAAATTACTTAAAGTCGTTACAAAAATATTTTGAGATTCAACAAAAAAATAATTTAAAGTCGTTACAAAAATATTTTGAGATTC